TTGAGGTGGGACTTGAAGGAGGCTAAGGAGGGGCGAGGCGGAGTGATTGGGGGATGGATTTTCAGAGGTTGGGGGCAGAGTGGCTGAAGGCTCTCCCGCCAATGGTGGGGAGGATGGGTCGGGGGACGTGGAGCAGGCTGGAGCCGGATGAGCGGAGGGAGCGGGCAGTTTGGTAGGGGGTTAGGAGGTCAGAGAGATAGGAATCAGCATTTGGATAGGTTTTTGTGTGGGTTGACTGGCAGAACAATCTTCTCTTATTCTATTCTTTCTTATATCCTTAAAATATCACTAAATTCAGAAATAATCTTTCTGGACTTGTACCTTCTTGTTCTGCCACATGGTGGCACCCATAATCCATGACAGGTTACAATTATCAACAACTTCAACTACTTGAGGGAAAATGCACTTTTTTAAGAAAACGTCTCCCCTCTAGATTTTCGTTTCTTCTCTACAAGGGACTGAGTTACACTGAAGCACTTACAATGGGTTCAGTAGCTGAGATAACAGCAGTTTATTATTATTATTGTTACCTGTCATAATACATTCTTTATGTGCTGTTGACGTTCTGTAATTTAAATCAGCATGGTCTAACTTTTTGGCTGGCGAGGGCTAGATCCCCTATTTCAGAAAGGTTCGCCGGTTGCATAAGTAATATTTTTCTGTTTCACTTCCAGAAACATAACAGTTACATATCACCTTTTTCACATCAGAATGACGTCTCAAAGCACTTGAGACTGCTGGCTGGGCACCCAAGCTGGGGGTGGGAATGGAGAGATGTAGGATTGTGGAAGGGAAAAGATGACTGAAAGCCACGTCAAAGAGTTCAGTCTTGATGTGCCTTAAAAGAGGAAGGAGGTAGTGAGGCGGAGGGATTCCCGGAATGCAGCTCCAGAGAATTGGGCAAAAGGGCGATGGTGGGACAAATGGGTTGGGGGGACATGAACGAAGCCAAGCTGGTGTTTGCTGAGCAAAGGGAACGACTGGGTCAGGAGGTCAGAGGTAGGATGGGGTGGGGGGGGGAGGGGAATGATGGACGTAAAGGCCTGAGATCTTCCTCATCGACCATGTTTACGTTCACCTCCTCCCTTCCCCTGCCTTGGCGCCAGGCTCCATCAGTGTTAAGCAGTCTGAGGTGCTACCCTGCATGAAGGGAGCTATATAAATTAAAGTTCTTGTCGTTGTTTGCAATATTTCCATTGAGAATTCAACAACTACTAGTGTGTGCTTGGACTTTCAAACATTGACTCTGACATAGAGATCAAGTAGAAGTCAGAAGTTGTGAAACTGAAGAAGTCACATATTGCTATTTTTAAAACCACAGCACTTTATATTTGAAACAAAAACAGAAGTCACTGGGAACACTCAGCAGGTCAGGCAAAGTGAGAAAGGAAAGTGAGTCAACGTTTCGGGTTCACGATCCTTCATCAGAACTGGGGCATGTTGGGAGGGAGAGGTTTTTAAGGGCCATTGGTGGCGGGCCTTCAGCTCTCTGCCCCCACCCTCTGGAACTCCATTCCACAGTCCCTCCGACTCGCCCCCTCCCTTGCCTACTTCAAGACCCGTATCAAGATCCTCCTCTTCAACCGTGCCTTCGGTCACCCTCCTACCCCTCCCCTCCCCACACTCCACCCCTCCTAATCCCAACCAGCAGTTCGGGTGCGGATCCCAGAATGTCCAGTGCCTTGGGACTCCTTCCTGATGTGAAAGGCACTATACAAATGTAATTTGTTGTTGTTGTCTGTGGAATTGTGTTGAATGCAAAATGATTGCCATGTTTATTTGCAAAAACAGTTACCTCACTTGGGATTTCTTACTGTAAAGCACTGTGAGATATTTCGACCTGGTAAAATTCTATAAACCCCAAGTTACTTCTACAGGAGAAAGGAAGTAATGTGCATTCTTATGCTTTATTATGTAAAAATGCCTCAAAATGGTTCACTGGTTATGACTGTGAAATGTGGTGATTGTTTTTGTAGGCATCCCTAATCTAAAAACATTGCAACAACTATCCATAATTTGCATATATAGTATATTATACATATATGCATAGTCGGATGCAAAAAATTTTATTTGAACTTTTTATAAAACTTTTTAAAAAAATTAAAAAATATATTTTTCCCCTCCCAGATACAAGACTAAATTTATCTTTAGATAAAGATAGAAAAACGTGAATTGTCTATCAGATGTTAATGAAAAAAGGAAGTGAAACCCTGCTTTAAAAATAACTACAGTACTGATACAACTAAGTGGAAGAAGTTGCAAGTTAAAATTGTTCTTACCAGAAGTGCACAATAATGTATAACAAAATTACCCAAATTAATCATTAACTGCAGAAAAGGTAAAGCAACAACTTGTATGTATATAGCATGTAAACGTACAAAAATGAACAATCAAAGAGATTGTTTAGATTTTTTTAAGACAAAAGGAGAAGTAGCCAAGCTCCCAGGCCTATCCTCTGGAAGAGTTCCAGGCGATGGGCACGGGAGACTGAAAACTCAACCACCAGTGAAGCAAAGGGAGTGAGCAAAGAGCAGAGACGGAAGAGCAAAGGGAAGTAGCTTGATTATATGGTTGATGAGAAAATCTCTTTTGGTCAGCCAGGTTTCTGATATGTGGGAAGCCCATCACCATGTTTAAGAGTATCCAAATCAGTCTGCGAGTTCCACATATAATTAATAATAACATATTAATAATAATCCCTACACTTGGTACAGCACATTTCACATTAGGAGGACATCCCAAAGCACTTCACAGGATATACTGTAGAGTACAGTGACTGTGTTTTGTGAATGAATGCAGCAGCTCAGTTGTGCACAACAATATCCCATGAACAGCCATGGAATGAATGACCAATTTTATTTGGAGATTATTGGCCAGGACACTGGGAGAAACTTCTCTTTTCAAATAGTGCAATGGGATCTTTCACATACAACTGAGCAGGCACAGACGGGGCCTTGTTTTTAACTTCTCTTCCAAAGGACGGCACCTCCAACTATGCAGCATACAAAAAAAAACACAATACTGCAGATGCTGGAAATCTGAAAATAAAAATAGTTCTGACAAAGGGTTGTAAACCTGAAACATTGACTCACCTTCCTTTCTCCATAGATGCTCCCTAACCTGCTGAGCGTTCCCAGCGACTTCTGCTTTTGGATGCAGCATAACCCCAGCACTGCATTGGAGTGACAGCTTAGACAAAATGAGTTCCAAAATTCTGATGTGGGGCTTGAACCCAGACCCTGTGACTCAGGCAAGTGTTACCCCTGAGCCAGGCTGACACACATATGTAAGCCACCTACACGTGGAAATTTCCATGTCTGAAATAGAATGTGCACTCTCTCCCTGGAGGTATGCACCCTGTTTACCAAATTCTGCATTGTATTTAGTGCAGTTTGGCAACAGCCGAGGCTGGGAAACCCCAGTGTAATGGAGTATTGCAGTAGTTTAACTAGCTAGATTTGCATATATTGTCATTGAAAAGATTGTCCCACTGCTTGTTCAGCTAGGACCACCCTTCCCATTAGAGCTTCAGCTTACAGGTATAAATAATAATCGTTGCATTTGATGTAACACCTTTCACATTGAGAGAACAGTTCAAAGCTCGTCACACGATTCAATAAATTGCAGTGATTGTGTATTTTAGGAGCTGAATGGAAAGAATCACTATCCCAGTGTCTGGCCCTCCCAAGTCCGAGTAATGAGCCAGGCGGGTTGGTCTGCCTTCGGCAGTGCCCTGCAGTACCTTGGATCTGCCTGGCTCAGGAATCGGACTATTGAGATCGCCACAGAAGGTTGATTCAATTCTGACATTCTATTGCCGTGCATGTCATCTTGGTGCCAGTTCAGGTCAAAGAGACCGTACTTACGTCCTCTCCAAATTTGGATAATCACTAATTTGCCTTTGACAAATAGCAGGTTTGAATTCTCACTAGGTAGATGGTAGGTACTAGGAGATCCCTAGTGAGCAGCACAGCTCACCATGAAATACATGATAATATTACCATCATCCTCCTTGCCCATAACTCAATACAAAGAGGATGTCACAAGTAGGGTGGGGTGATATGGTGGAAGAATTTGAAGAACAGGACAGGGGGCTAAAAATTCCTTCCTCTTAGGTCATGAGATGCAACGACGACGACGACTTGCATTTATATAATAATCCTTGCATTTGATATAGCGCCTTATCTCGTTGTAGAGACGTCTCAAAGAGCTTCACAGAATATATACTATAAAGTGGATTGACCCTGTATTTGAGGGCGGAACACGGCAGCCAATTCCGCGCAGCATATAGGACGCTTCACCTGGGGAGCATCTCCGAGCACTTTGGCATTGGCTCTTGGCAAGGATGTGGTTAATGAGTACGATGGACCCTGCGACTGGAAGTTGTCTCTGTGCTTGGGCACCTGTGAGCATCAACGCACCTTTGGCCACAACTCTCTGCCCTGCCCTGCCCAGCCGCCCTGCCCTGCCACCCGACCCAGTCGCCCTGCCCAGCCCAGCCCTGCCGCCCTACCCAGCCCTGCCGCCCTGCCCAGCCCTGCCGCCCTACCCAGCCCTGCCGCCCTACCCAGCCCTGCCCAGCCCTGCCACCCTGCCCAGCCCCCTGCCCAGCCCCCTGCCCTGCCGCCCTGCCCAGCCCCCCTGCCCTGCCCAGCCGCCCTGCCCAGCCCAGCCCTGCCCCCTGCCCCCCTACCCAGCCCAGCCCCCTGCCCAGCCCAGCCCTGCCACCCTACCCTGCCCTGCCCCCCTGCCCTGCCAATCATCCCGCCACAACGGCCTGAGAGGGACAACCACTCCAACAGTAGGAGTGGGTGGAGCGACGGCGCTCGTGCGCAGTACTGCAGCAGGGCCGGGAGCCGTCGTGCACGTCCGCGCGGCCGCCTCCCCTGCGCGCCCCCTGCCGTCGCCCCGAGCTGAGCACGTGAACACGCCTCACAGGGTCCGCGCCTCCCACCCCCAGGCCTCCCCCGCAAATACCTTCCCCGGAGACAACAAGGCGGCGCGGGTGTGTTCCGGGTGGCGAGCGGTCCGGTCAGTCCAGTCGGTTGGGCGGCGGGCGCGGTGATTGCAGCACCTCCATCTTAAGGCAGACGGCGCTCGGGACGGGGACGGACGGACGGACGGAGACGAGCGGCCTCAGTCGGTGGCCGAGGATCCGGAGGTAAACAAGACAGGTGGTGCTGTGGCTCGTGCCTGAGCTCGGCTTCTGTTCCCCGTTGTTTAGGCTCGAGAGAAGAGGCGGTTTAACGGCAGGTAATACAGGTCATTTTAAATCAAGCGCGTGACGGTGAGGCTCACACATAACCCAACTCCCGGGATCAGGAGAATAACAATATTAATATTAATACTTGGATTTGATATAACGCCTTATCACGTCGTTGAGACGTCTCGAAGCGCTTCACAGGGTATACTGTAAAGTGTGGTGACTGTGTGTTTTGTGGGCGGAAATGTGAAAGAGAAAAATCAGCAACAAATGACATTTGGTGTCCCAGCCCTCACTGCCCGGCACCGGACAGTCATGGGTTCCCACCCAGGAGCGGGGGTGGGGGGGGGGTCAGATATTTCTATGGAAAATATTTTATGGAAAATATAGTTCTTTTGTTGCTGGACAGCAACGCGGTACATTGCCATAAACCAGTTCAAACAACAACAAAGTTACATTTGTGAAGCGCCTTTCACGTCGGGAGGACGTCCCAAGGCGCTGGACAGTCGGAGTTCCTGACCCGAGCTGGGGGTCGGGGTCGGGGAGGGTGGAGGGCGGGCGGTGGTGAGGGGGGAACAGGGTGATCGGAAGCGCGGTCAAAGAAGGGGGTCTTGAGGAGGAGAAGGGTCTTGAAGGAGGCCAGGGAGGGGGTGAGGCGGAGGGACTGCAGGATGGAGGTCCAGAGGGAGGGGGCAGAGTGGCAGACGGTTCGCCCGCTATTGGTGGCCCGAGCGAAGCGGGGGACGTGAAGCAGACTGGAACCCGCTGAATGGAGGGAGTGATCAGGATGATAGGGGGGGTTGGAAGGTCACAGAGGTGGGGGGGGGAGCAAGACCGTGGAGGGTTTTGAAGGTGAGGACCAACCCCAGGGAGATCCTGTTTATACTTTACCCTTCCTCAAAAGAGAGTATATTTAGAGATGCAACGTATTGTGTTTGAAAGTATGAAATCGAATGGACTCAGTCCCTCTGGTGTTAAGATCAACCCAAGTGAGGTTAACAGAATGATTTCCTGATCTCTTTTCAGGCTGTCTTGGTAGTCTGGTTCCTAAACCAGGTAGGTCCACAGTACTCAAGGGTATTACAGATGATACTTAAAATCACACTTAAACCATTATGCTTTAACTTTGTGCAACATGATATAATATTCAGAATTTGTCACCTCAAATTCACAGGGTTAGATTTGTAACCGCTGTTATTTGTACACTTCATAACCTCGCTACTAACACCAGCTAAGTTTGTAAGTCTATGCGTTGTTTTCCACGACACTGTACTTGAAAATTTTAGTTGCAAACCATTACTTTTGAATTAATTGCTTATGACAATACTGAGACGATGTAACTTTACTTTTGCATTTTGCTGGTGACTGTTCATAATCCAGTTAGAATAATCCATATCCTCTGTCTAAATGGGATGGTTGTAATTAAGAAATAGGCCTTACATTTCTTTGAAAAGTCTTAAGAGTTACTCTTGTCTGGATTTTTGGAAAACCTCACAATAATAATAGCTGATCCAAAAAAAGTTATGAAAATTTAACTTGGCTCTGAATTCCCCAGGAATAATCAGCTGCTACTTGTTGTTCAGATCCTCAAGTGTAAAATATCCAATTAGGTGAGATCCTTGAGGGATGCTGGTTCCTGTGGAATCATGGCCTCATGAAGAAGCAGTTACTGCTTTTAAAAGATGAATAAGTGGAGATGTTCGAGGGGAAAAAAACTCGAGGAGAAATATATCCACCTTTTTCCTCGGGAATTTGCCATAGTTCCCTTGAGTCTTTTGGTTATTCAACACAAAGCCTTTGTTTCTCGCTCGAATTTACTGCAATTAATTTTTTCTTTCTGTGAATTACAATTTTTCAGTGGTTTCACCTGGATATTTTACACATGACGGTCTGAACAACATGTAACAGCTGATTATTCAACCCTAGGGCATTCACAGCCAATTTAAATCTTGCTTACATTTTTATTGGATCAGCCTGATGTCTGACATAAGCCAAAATCCATCATCATATTTAAGACTATACAATTGTTCTGAACAGGATTTGCCCTGTTCACTTTCTCTTGCTTTTTCATATTTTTCTCGTTGTAGACATGAAGATGAGAGATATGAGTGCCAGAAGACTCTTTAGTAGTTTTTTGTACTCTTGTGTTGATTTCATAATCAAATGAAATGCATTTCAGTGTAATTGCCTCTAACCTACATTAAATCCAACTCCAGATGAGCCTTTGCACCAATTTGATTTTTCTTGTTTTCACATGGCCATGCTTGTAGCCATTATGAGTGACTCATCCTTTGTTGTAGATTGGTACTCCATTGATGTGTACAGTCATGTTGACTGATGTGTAGTAGAGCAAACTAATAAGCTGCTTTGTGGAGTCCTGTAGCTCAGTGGTTTGAGCAAACTCCTCGCAAGCGAGAGACCTGGTTCGATTCCTGGGCAGGGTGAAATGTTGGGCAAGTTTTCTTACTTCACATGCCTCTGTTTATCAAGAAGTAAGTAGGAACCCAGTTGTTAGTCGATTGGCGGATCGCTTTTCCGGGGGTAATAATCCCTTTTTAAAAATAAATAATAATTTGGTCACTCAATGCATTACTGTTTGTGGGACACTGCTGTGCACAATTGGCTGCTGCGTTCTGCCCACAAATATACAGTCACTACACTTTACAGAATATTCTGTGAAGCGTTTTGAGACGTCTAGAAGACATGATAAGGTGTTATATCAAATGCAAGGGTTATTATTACTTATAGCTTATTTTGTACACCCCACAATTCCTTCCCCTGCAATATAGGAAGTTCCAAAGGCTGATAAGAGAACTAAAATGTAGAAGGGAAAGGAAAGTACCTTTCATGAGAAAGGAAATGATTCATCAAATTGCAGAAATTACCTTCAAGCTGTGAGATGCATTCTACAGTATGCACTATACTGATAAATTATATCAGTCAGGACATTATCATTTAATGTGACTTGTACAAAGTCCGAGTTATAGGTAAACTTGAATATAAATTTTGATTTAATCAATAATCTACATTGCACGTGGTTATTCAATGCAGCCAATAAGTGTGCATGCAATACTTTTGTCACTGCAGCTGATAAGTTAAAATGACGTGTCAAAACCACGTTTCCTGTGATTCAAAGCGCTGTATGTACACCTGTAGGCAAGCATTAGAATCGCGTTGAATCACAGGAAATGAAGTTCTTCTGTGCATATGGCGATGGATCAAGACTACGTTTCCATGCAGGCAGCCAGTAAGTGCGCATCCATCGATGGATTAGGACATCATTTGTTGTGATTCAATGCAGCTTGTAACTTCATTACAAGTTAGGAGATTATTTGTTATAAAAAATGATGAGTGCAAACAAATCTAAGTGGTTTTGATAGGAAACTGAATGGCACTCGGGTGCATGTATGACTTGGTTGATTATATGATTTATACAGATAAGAATTGTGTGAGTTTTACTGTAACTGTTTTTCACTAATTTCCACTGAATGTACATGCTATACATTTTCCTTCTCTTACATATAACCTAACTCAACTGTTGACAACTTCTCTCTTTCCTCTAAAGACCAGTGGTTTGTTGATGGTTCTCCAGGGTGCTATCAGCCTCTTTTATCTCAAGTTGTGACTTTGCTGTTGACTATATCATAATAGTTTCAATAATGCTTGGTATTGGTGCAAAGGACACAGAGTTTATTATAAAACATTTTACAGTCATAGGAACATTACCTTATCAGAAATAATTTTGTACAGTCTGATATTACTATGTAATAATAGTGTCAAGCGGTGGGCAATGGTGATGTTTCAAAAGTTAAGCCCTTTGTCATGTTTGTGAATTCTTTCATTGTATTGTTGCAGAACCTTGATCAAATTGAGTAAACCTATTGTTCACAACATTTACATTTAAAAAGTCGTGTTAGTTTTCTTTGTCCAGACGATCCATCCCTGAAAATGAGCTTAAACAAGAAGCTGCCACCATAACACAATACCAGAGACAAAAAATAATGTTGTTAGCACATATAATTTACAAAGCACAATGAAAAATGCTCACATTTGTGATTTCTGACCTCCAATCTTTTTCTTCTATGTTTGCAATTGGAGAATAAATTGTGTAATAATGCAAGATGTTTTGCTCACCTATATGCAATGGATGATTTGATTATTGGGATACAATCTGGAGATGATTCTAAATAAGAAAATTAGTGCAATGTATACTGTACTTTTGGGATTATCTGGTAGGAAAAAATCTGTATCTGATTTATAACTGAAACGATGGGATACAGAATGCAGCCTGAGATGTGACACATGAACAAAAATGGAATTAAAACATTCAGTGTTTTTCACTAATTATTAGGTTGATTTCTTTCAGTGTTCACCTTCAGTGATTGGATCTGAAGCTCGCTCAAAAATTCTAAAATTTCTAACCATCTACCTTTGATTTTAGTTTACGTATCAATTTAGTTTACGTATTCCTTTCAAAAGCACAGAGTTCCTATATTTATATATATTATTTATATATATATATAGCAATTCCTATATTCAACATTCTGATATTGCTATAAAATAACAGTAAGTATCAAGTATGAGATGGACAATGATGATGTTTCAAAAGTTGTGAGGAAGAGGTCTAGGAGCATCAGCATTACTGGCATTTGTGGAGTGCAGTGTTTCAGGGCTGCCCCACAAGACAATGCCTTAAAATTCAGCCAAGATTTCTATTTTTTTTAAAAAAGACAGCATTTGGAATTTTTGAACTGAAGATTTAACAATAGGGATTCATTTTTTTTGATTTGGAGAACAATAGAAAAAAATTGGAGAAATGAAATGGTGTTAAACAGAGTTTGAAATGTACTTCCCTTCCCCCAACTTCCAAATATTGGTAATACCTAAACTCAGTTGAAAAGCGCTGTATGCTACCTCTTGTGTACAAACTGCCTTGAACTAGTACTTGAATGTAATTTTGCTCAATGAAGTAATGCTTTCACTGCAGTAGCCTTAAAGTTAATTTCATGTAAAAAAACTGGGATGACAAAGTTTAAAATAATGCCCAAAATAAGGTAGGATGGTTGCAGATAACTTTTTACATAGAATTGGTGTACAATCTCATACAAAATGGGATACTGTTGAATGGAGCATGATTCATGAAAGTACAGGATTTTTTAAAACTGATTGCAAGCTGACACTTTAGCTCTCTTGTCTTTTTTAAACACCAAACCCTTTACCACAATATCACTGACATTTACAAAATTTTATTTCTGTCTCATGATTAACTATCAAAATATCCTTTTTTTTCCTTTTAGAGGAATGTGTCTAGAAAGCTGAGTTTTCTTTGATTATCTGCTGAGTATTGTGAGATAAGTGTGATCACGTGGTTTGACTGGACATTGAGTAATAACATTCAAAGTACTGTATGTCCCATTGTTCTTTGTGTAGCCTTCAAAAAGAAATGTTTATAGGCAGAAGCAAGCCAAGAATAAAGGGAAGTTATTCGAAAACAACAAAATTACATTTGTATAGCGCCTTTCACGTTGGGAGGAGGTCCCAAGGCACTGGACAGTCAGTGTTTCGGACTTGAGCTGGGGTTCGGATTGGGGAGGGTGGATGACAGTGGGGGAAGGAGGGTGATGGAAAGCACAGTCGAAGAGGAGGGGCTTGAGATAGGTCTTGAAGGAGGCAAGGGAGGGGGCTAGGCGGAGGGACTGCGGGATGGAGTTCCTGAGAGTGGCTGAAGGCCCGCCCACCAATGGGGTGGGCAAGGTGGGGGACGTGAAGCAGGCCAGAGCCCGCTGAGCGGAGGGAGCGGGCGAGTTGGTAGGGGGTTAGAAGGTTGCGGAGGTAGGGCGGAACGAGGCCATGGAGGGCTATGAAGGTGAAGAGCCTGGATCTTGAATTGTATCCTGTGTGTGATGGGAAGCCAGTGGAGTCGGGTGAGGATGGGGGTATTAGGGTCACGGAACCTGATGTGAGAGAGGACACGGGCTGCAGAGTTCTGGATGATCTGCAGCCTATGGAGGGAGGAGTTGGGGAGGCCGACAAGCAGGGAGTAAAAAGGATAGTTGTGGGTCAAACAAGATGCCAAGCTTCCGGACTGGCTTAGTAAAGTGGAGTGTGCATCCTTGGATGGTGACTCTATCAGTGCCTGAGGTGTGGAGGGGCTGACGGGAGCCAATCAGGAGGGCCTTGGTCTTGTTGACATTCAACTGAAGAAAGTTAGCTCTCATCCAGGACTTGATGTCTGACAGATATTCTGTCAGGACAGCAATGGTCCTGGAGTCAAGGGTGGAGAGAGAGATACAGTTGGGTGTCATCCGTATGTGGAAGTTGACCCCAGGTCTGTGGATGATGTCACCAAGAGGGAGCATATGGATATTGGAGAGGACGGGATCAAGGAGGGGACCTCCACACAAGAAGATGTGGGGGCTAGAGGTGAAACCGATTGTGGAGATGAAGTAGAGACGGTGTAAGAGGAATGATCTGAACCATTCAAGGACAGAACCATGAAGGTTGAGGTGAGAGGAGAGGCCGTAGATGAGGATAGAGTGGTCAGTGGTATCGAAGGCAGCAGGGAGGTCAAGGAGGCAAAGGGAGGCCTGGTCGGAGGTGCACAGAATGTCATTTATCACTTTGACCAGAAATGTTTTTGTGCTGTGGGCGGCATGGAAACCCGATTGGAGGGGTTCATGAATGGAGTGGCAGGAGAGGAAGGAGCGAATCTGGGAAGTGATGACTCATTTCAGGACCGAGGAAAGGGAGGTTGGAGATGGGCCGGTAGTTTGAGAGCAGGAATGGGTCCAGGGAGGGTTTTTTAAGGATAAGGAGTGATGGTAGCCATTTTTAAACGGTTGGGAACGGTGTGGACAGGGAGAGGTTTATGATGTCTGTGAGTAGAGGGGCAATGAGGTGCAGCTGGGAGGTAAGGAGATTGGTAGGATGGGGTCGAGGGAGAGGTGGTCAGTTTCATGCAGGTTATAGTGGTGGTGGGAGAGGAATGGGAGACAGGTTCGAAGCTGTGGTTGGAGGGATGGATAGGGGCTGTGCTGGCTCTTTTAAAATAGCTATTCAAATCAAATAGTAGATGGAAGGTCAGAGGCAGCTGAGTGGATATTCAGCCTTATACTCTTTCTGATATTGTCGGGTTGCACATGCAATGTAACAACATTCCTTTATTCAGTGTCTACTCTAGACTTGATATTCTAATGCAACGCTGAGGTGTGCTGAATTGTTGGATGAGATATCAAACTGAGGTCCCATTTGCTTACTCAGATGGATGTTAGAGATCCCATGGCACAGTTTGAAAAGCAGTTTCTCCCAATATCCTGGTCAATGATCCCCCAGATGAAATTGGTCATTCACTTCATATTTGTGTATATATTGGCTGCTGCATTCACCTACAAAAATACAGATACTTCATTCTACAGTAAATTCTGTTAACAACAACTTGCACTTATATAACGCCCTCCATACAGGGTAGAATCTCAGAGCGCTTAACAATGGTGGAACCTAGTTCCTAGCCAGGGCGGGGGGTGGTGGGAGGTGGAGGAAAAAGGAAGGAAAGAAAGGCTTTCAGGCAAGACTTGAAAAAGGGGAGAGAGGGGGCAAGGCGGAGGGATTGAGGGAGAGTGTTAAGCGCTCTACAGCGAAGTTTACAATTTGCCCTGGGATATTTCAGCAACATGATACATTATTATATCAAATATTCTATATTACATTATTGCTGTTTGTATTTGAAGCACAGCATGGACTTATTGTAGAAAAGTTCATATAGGGTATTTTCTAAATGTAGTCCATCAATGTCTAAAGTTGCTACGGGCAGAATAACTGCCAATACTTATCTTTATTATATAGGTACAGAGTTCAGTTTGGATAGTTACAAATAATCTTCCTCTTGGCTTGGACCTGTAAATCAATCTTCCTCTGACTTCTCGTCACAGTACCATAAAGGTTAGAGTAACTAAGAGTAACTAATTTCCTTCCACCCTGAGCTTGCCTGTACGCCTTTTTCGAGGCTGTACATGGAATAATAGGAGGTTATTTGAAAGTAACTTTGCCTATAATCCGTTTGTAGCTCCAGTTGGCGAGCAGTTTGTTTGATTCCAACATTGTTTTGCTTTATATATGGTATAATTAATGCAACCTTTTTCACCAGTGCCAGCATAATACTTTATTGTTCTTTGACTTGCAGCAGAAATGTAATTTTTTTAAAAATGATTACATTTCAACAAACAACAAATTACATTTGTAGAGCGCCTTTCACATCAGGAGGACATCCTAAGGCGCTGGAAATTTCATGGCCTCTGCTGAAACAAAATAGCTGGCTTGTACTTCCCCGTCTTCTGAAAGCATTTGATCCCTTTATTTCACTCTCTAGTGTGGTACAGTCCATTGGCATCCCCTGATACGTCCCCCGAATAGCCATTATTCATGTGAGTCTCGGCAGGTAGTGTTAACAGGCTAATTGACTATGGATATTTTTTGTTGGGGGCTGGGGGGATAGAAGAGGAGCAGAAGCTGAGCATAATTCTGTCCTCATCTGAACCTGATCTCAGTACACATACCTTCCTGCAGAAATCTGGATTGAGTTGAGAATGGGAACCCTGGAAGATTTTCCTCTTCCCCAAACCTAGGGTTACTGTGGCCAGTTGTAAATGCCCATGGTTGATCACCACAGGCTTCAAATCTGCAGCAGTTGTAACTGGGCAGCATGTAAAGACTGGCAGGAACCTGAAAAGGTATATTTCAAATAATATTGGTGTTTTTGCTGACTTTCATATTCCTCTTCTTGTCCAGAAGGTGGCTGCAGTGATGCTGAGGCTGTTGTTGAGCAGCAAGAGACCCGGGCAGAATGAGCAGTGTAACATCCGTTCAGGAGAATGTCGTTGTGGTCAATAGTTTCAGTCACAGAACGTCCTTTGGTGCAGGTCATTCAGTAAATGCAAATCAGCTGGTGACCAGGTTAGCGTCGTATGAACCCAGTGAAACACGAACTATTTCTGATGTCAGAAGGACTTTCTGCTTATTTGTTACATTTGATCTTTTATTTGTCGGCTTGCTCTGGATAATAGAATTAAATGTAAGTATTAAATTTACGTATCAATTTTAAATATTCTACAGATTATATGTTTTATGAAGTAGAGACTTAAAATAGAATGTAAAATTTCCCCCAAATATGTACGTTACCTGTTCAATTAACTTGATTATTAAAATGATCATCTAATTTAACTTGAAACTAAATTGTTCAAACTATAGTCAAATGTTTAGATTGAGCTAACCTCTGGCACTTTTTTTGCTTTTCAGGTGGAAGGAAACATTAAATCCAGGTTAAAAGATGAAGTTCTCCATTATAACTTTAAACATTCTTACTTTGACATATTTGTAAGTCTAGTAGTTTTCCTTAGTATCCTGAAATATTGTTTGTGCTTAATATGACATTCTGATCACTGTTCAAGTTTTAAACTTCAATGTGCTTTATTTATTTTCACAGTTACTGGCGGTTTTTCGTTTTTTAGCGCTGATATTAGCATATGCCTTGTGCAAACTACGTCACTGGTGGGCAATAGCGGTAAGTGGCAACACTGGAAAAATATTAGCGCTTGGGCCAAGTGACTTTAGATGGAGAAGACAACCAAGGCTAGTTCGTGAACAGGATTGCGTTACCCTGCGTGAGGGGCTATATAAATGCAAGTTGTTATTAATGCATGGAGTTATAAGAGGTTGCCTAAAACTTCATAAATCTGGCGAAGTAAGATTTTATTCAAACCTCCTTTTTTTTCTATTCTATGTCTTAAGATGTAGCCTTAAGATCCTGTGCCTTAAGATGCATTTACCTTTTGTATAGCCTTATCTATCTGCACTGCTCCCTTCATTGACCAGTGCATCCTGAGGTTTCCCTCAATACCATTTCAAATCTGTTTGAAAATTAATGTATTCTCATTCTCTATTCTTAGTACTAAAATATACTACTTCTGATTTTTGAACAGTGAACTACTGTTATCTAGTAGCCTAACAATGTCCCACAGGCGTTCACAATCCTTGGATAAACTGCTTTGATGAGTCATTGCAACCCTGTTTCAATCCTTTCAAGAGAGGGACTGAATTGATCTCTGCAGGGATTCGCTGTGTCAAATGAAGCCCCAAATTATCCTTTCTAACCACTAATCTGCATGATAATCTTGTACGGCTATAAGTGACATTTAGCTTTTCCAATTTTAGATTACAACCGCCGTGACCAGTGGCTTTCTAATTGCAAAAGTAATTTTTTCAAAGGTATGTATTGCTTCTAGAACTAAAATCTGTGTGAAAGTATCAATTTCTGTCATTTGCTTTCTTAAAGTCTTTAGACTGCCTACTAAATCCTATTTATCCTATTGATCTAGCTTCTGAACCAAGGTAGTGCCTTTGCCTATTTGCTGCCAGTCATATCCTTCATACTAGCCTGGATAGAGACCTGGTTCCTCGATTTCAAGGTTTGCCACAAGAGGCAGAGAATGAAAACAGTAAGTAAACTAACAAATTCCTTGTGCAGATGTAGGAGGAAGGATTAAAGAATTTGTAGCATTGAGATATAAAGTCAATTTTAATTGCAAATTGTTCATTGGTGTTACTAATGATGAATTTGATGTTCATCCTCCATGGAGAATCCAGCCTGTTTTTGCAGCAACTCAGCAATAATAATAATTATCCTTGCATTTCATATAGTGCCTTATCACATCTTCGAGATGTCTCAAACCGCTTCACAGAATATACTGTAAAGTGAATTGACTTTGTATTTTGTGGTGAAATAATTGTGGCAATGCCTGCCTAATCAATGTCCTTCGGTGAGCTGTACACAATCGTTGTTGGAATTTAGTCCCTATACAGCCATCTGCTTGGAAGAGACTCCATGGGTTCCCTCCCGATTGCTTGATATGGGTTTTAAGCCTGTGTACGTGGAAAACGCCATACTCAGCCCAACATTCAAAAAAATACAGGCTGCAAGACTCACCATCTGGGAATGATACTCTTCATGGCTGAATTCCCAACATCTAGGTCAGGGTGGTCCAACCTTTTGGCCCCTGAGGGCCGGGTGCTGATTTGAGAACTGTCTGCTGGCTGCATAGCAATATTTTTGTGTTTCCCTTCCAAAAATATAATCCGTAAGAATCATGTAAAATTCCTCTGTTTTGAATTGCATACATGTATTACTTAATTTTACAGTATTTTAGTTAAAATGTAAACTTTAAATAGGCAATGTGAAACCTCATACAAATTTTAAGACAATAATACACTTATCAGTGAAGTACAACAACAAGATTACATTTGTTTAACGCTTTTCAAGTTGCAAGCATGCCCCAAGGCACTGGACAGTCAGTGTTTCAGACCCAAGATGGGGGTCGGGATTGGGGAGGGTGGAGGGCAGGGGGCAAGGAGGGTGATTGAAAGCATGGTCGAAGAGGAGGGTCTTGAGATGGGTTTTGAAGGAGGCAAGGGAGGGATGGCGGGATGGAGTTCCAGAGGCTGGGGGCAAAATGGCAGAAGGCCACTAGCTTCTCTAGCCTCTCCTCATACTCAAATCACTTGTTTCTGGTACCATCCTGGTATATCTCCTTTGCACCCTCTCCAATGCCTTGAGATCCTTCCTAAAGTGTGGTGCCCACAACTGAACACAGTCTCCAGCTGAGGCCTAACCAGTGTTTTATTGCTTCATCCAGTGTAATATATTGCTTGTCTATGTTTTCTTTGAAAGAAAGCATATGATCAAATTTAAGTCAGCATTTCTTGTAGGCTGTATGATTTTTGCAGATTTTTCTTTATGATTATAAGGAATCGGGAATAAAATAATTGTCTCCACTGGATGAGCTAGCACAAATTTAGGTTCAAATAGCATGTGTGACTGCAGTGAAATGAGTCATCAAAGTCAGAATGCTGATTTGAACTTCAGTTGTATTATTCTGAGCAAATTGTTTCTATTTTGTTCTTTTGACCTTGTACAGTACATTGTTTAAACATAGATTAATACATCCCAGGAAAGTATTGAGGCTATGTAGCTTTGTTGATTGTTGTCCTCCTAACGTGAAAGGTGCTATACAAATATCATTTTTTATTGTATTTTGTATTGTTATTGTTGTAATCTGTGATTAGTTTGGGATCTATACTGTTATTTTTATAAAACAAATCAGTTTTAACTCCTTTTGTGAAACTACTTTCTTTGGAGGGAAAGAATAGTGTAAATTGGCAATAGAAAGCACTGTGTTATTTCATCTTTCGGTATCATGTGTTAAACTGATGGAAATAGTCTAAATACCCTGAGAAAAACATACAGATCATAAAAGCAGAATTGTCAAAATCAATCAGAGGTTACATTTTTGGGGAACTTGATACAAATCAACAATAGCAAGTGCACAGGGCTTGTTACAGCGCACGTATGCTATTTTAATTGTTAAACTTGGTTAAGATAAATAGATTTATGTTCCACGTGATGAATTACATTAGCACTCTGAGGGACAGAGAATGAGTACATCCGTAGAGCATGTGTAAACTTCAACTTGATTTTGTTATTGGTGTATAAGTTTGATTTAATAGTTTTAATGCTCTACAGTTAAGCACAGTAGCTCCTTTGAAGTATGGAATGCAATATTACATAGTCTTGTAATGTATTAACAAATACAACTTTTATTATAAGTGATTAAGTTCATTTGGAATTGATAAAAGTGCATTAATAATAATAAGCACAATAATAATATTCTCTGGACATCACTGTACCCCTCCATGCTCTCCAACTACCATCCCATTTTTAATCTGCCCTTCCACTCCAAGGTGCTGGAATGAGTTGGAGTCTCCCAGCTTTGCTTCTTTCTTTCCACCACTTTCTGTACAAGATATTTACTGTCCAGTGCAGTGACGTTTAGTGGGAAAATGTGCATTTTATGCTTGCACGTTTCTACAAATTGCCATGTAGTGTCGCTGAATTGCCATGTAGTGTCGCTGAATTGCCATGTAGTGTCGCTGAATTGCCATGTAGTGTCGTTGCATTGCCGTGCAGTATCTCTTCGTTTTGAATAGTATAATGAAATCTTCAACATCCACAGTCAAGACTTGTGTAGGTCAATTAATTTTCTCATTTCTTTCTATCCATAATATAATAATCCTTGCATTTGATATAGCGCCTTATCACATCTTCGAGGCATCTTAAAGCACTTCACAGAATATACTTTAAAGTGAATTGACTGTATATTTTGTGGATGATCCATAGTAAATATCGTTGATAAGAAATCAACAATAAAATAGTAAAACAACCAATCGCTCTTTACTGGCATAGTACCTGCCAGCAACTTGTCAGTACAACTCATTGTTATGTACAGGGCACGTTAAGCACAATCATGCTATTTTAATTCTTAATTTGAAAATAAACAGGTTTACATTCCAATTTATGAATTATATTATCACTCTGAGGAACAGAGAATGAATACTTCCATAGAGCACGTGTAAGCTTCAACTTGTTTTGTTATTGCAGTATAAGTTTGATTTAATAATTTACCCTATATTATCACTGGCTGTTTGTCAATGTTGTCCTGGAATATAAACTGTGAACTGAGATAATAGATAGATATTTGTTCAGCCTGTTATTCTAAGGCTTTTTTTTTCCTTTCTCCCCTGTTTCAGGAGTGGTTTCAATACATGCTGCATCCGAACATGCACCACTTATCCAGCCCGGAGTCCTCTCTGATGGCCAATTTTATTCTCCTCCTGAATCTGTGTCTGGTCAGTATTCTAAGAAAGTATGGTTGGCTACATCTTTCATTTATGTGGACATAAAGTAGTACTAATTTGATTTGGTGTGCGTGTGTATATATTTTATATATATATATTATATTTATAGTAATTATTTAAATTGTATAATGAGATCTGTGGGTGGTTATTTTACTATGTCTGTACTGAACTTTAATATTTTCAATGGTGTGCAATATAATTATGGGAAAGAAACATGCAAATAATGTGAAGCATGTACAAGAATATATTAATGTACTTTAAAGATGGTTGTGTTAGTTACTACCAAGATATTTGCTCAATAGTTAGAAGACTGTGCTAAGAGGTCCTAGACTTCGCCTCAAAGATTGAAAACATCGACATGGCTGCATCGTCCTCCCCCTTCTCCACCCACCCCACCCATGTCCCCTTCCACCCCACCTAGACCATCCACACTGCCACAGCTCCTGCCGCTCCCCCCTCCTTACACTCTTTGTCCCCATTTCTCCCTCCTCCCTTTCAACCACCATTACCCTCATGAAGTTCACCACCTGCTCCTTTGCCCCCTTCCCCACCCAGCTGCTGGTCACTCAACTCCCCCTCATCTTCCCCCCTGCTGGCCGACACGGTCAACCAGTCTCTCTTCTCAGGCTCTGTTCCACTCCCCCTGAAAACCGCTGTTATCACACCCCATCCCATTTCCAACCTGCCCTTCCTTGCCAAACCCCTGGAACGCATTGTTGCAGGTAAACTTCGGTCACGTCACTCCCTTCTTGAGCCCCTGCAGTCTAGTTTTTGCCCTGCCCACAGCACAAAGACAGCGCTTATCAAAGTCACAAACAACATTCTCTCTATCTTTGACGAGAGCTCCCTCTGCCTCCTCATCCTCCTGGATCTCTCTGCCACGTTCGATACAGTTGATCACGACATCCTCCTCCACTGCCTCTCCTCCCTCATCCACCTTAGTGGGACTGCACTCGTATGGTTCAAGTCCTACATAACCAACCGCTTCCACTTCATCTTTGCAAATTATTTCTCCTCCCGCCCCCACCCAGTCACCTCCAGGGTACGCCAGGGCTCCATCCTTGGCCCTTTTTCCTCATCTACATGCTCCCTCTTGGTGATGTCATCTGCAGGCATCAACATGTATGTGGGTGACACACAAATGTACTTTGCCTCCTCCAGCTGCGACTCCAGGTCGTTCGATGTCCTATCAGCTTGTCTGGCAGACATCAGGGCCTGGATGAGTGCAAATTTCCTGCAGATGAATGTGGACAAGACGGAAGCCATACTCCTTGGCTCCCATCAACATTTTCACTCCTGCGGATCTGAACTCCTGAAGTCCTCAACTTCCCTTGGCTCTCCCTCAGACTCACTGAAAAGTGCGTAATCTTGGCGTCCAGTTTGAGCCCCAGCTGTCTTTCCTTCCCCACACTCGGTCCCTGACCAGGACTGCCTACCTCGACCTCCGCCACATTGTCCGCCTCTGACTATACCTTACCCCAAATGTAGCTGAAACCCTCGTGCATGTGTTTGTCACCACCTGCCTGGATTACTCAAACGCACTCCCCGCCGGTCTCCCCAGCTCCACAATTCAAAAAATCCAGCTCGTTCAGATCTCAGCTGCCCACATACTTACCCAGACGTACCCCCATCTCACCAGTTCTGGCCAGGCTACACTGGCTGCCTATCACCGAAAGGATCGACTTCCAAGAACCTCACACTCCTGTTCAAATCCCTTCACTCTCAGGCACCTCCCTACCTCTCCGACCTCCTGACTCTTCAATCCATTACCCAGCGCCTCTGCTCGACTGGCACCGGCCTCCTGCTCGTCCCTCACATCCTCCACCCCACCATCAGAGGTCACGCGCTTTCAGCCACTACGCCCCAAAACTCTGGAACATTCTCCGTCGATCCCTCTGCCTTAAGCCCTCTCTCCCTTTTTTAAGTCCTGCCTTTTCGACCATAGAAAAGTACGTGACTGATATTGGCTCATTGGTATATTGTTGACTCCTAGTGCTCCAGTTCCACCTTCTGCACAGTGTAAAATATGAATTCATACAACAGTGGTAGTTTCTTTTACCTTTTGTTTAGCTCTGGGATGCCTATCATGATGGCTCACTTTAAGTGTGGCAGTAGTAGGTCTACTAATTGTGCTGAGGAGGATAGGCCAGTGGTGCAGTATGTTGGTTGACATTGTGAACCTGTTACCTGGGCTTGTCCTCACATCTTTACAAAGCATTATTTATCTGACAGGCTTGGATGAGTGAATGGTGGGTGGAAAAGTTGCCAGAGTGACGTATACTCTCATGTTTTATACTGGATGGTAGTGGGACGAGCCAGTGGATATTTTGATGTCACTGACCCTGGGCAATGCTAGTCATATATTTTTTCTTAGATCAATTAAAAGTAGTAGTTCAACTCCATTGGTGTGCAGGATGCCTTTCCTCCACCCAAGAAATTATTGTTTCACTTAGTTTAATAATTATATATTTATGGCATGAAGGAAATACAATTTAAAGAAGCACTATGGGAAGGGAGAAGAGCTTGAAAAGCTATGGTGATTTTTGTCAAAGGAATTGCATCCTGTCAGAGCTCGTCAGCATCAAAATTTATCATCTTGTCATTTGTAAATAAATGGTAATAATAATACTTGTGTTTGTTTTCGCACCTTTCACTTTGAGAGAATGTCTCAAAGCACTTCAAAGGATTTATTGTGAAGTAGTTTCCATGCTGAGAAATTTCATTAGTCACAATCTCACTATATACACTCAATACATTAATAGTATTTTTAGTGTTTTTTATTTTGCATACAGTGTTTTTAATTGAATATAGTTTACACGCTCTGAGACAGTAAAGACCTATAAAGTTTTAAAGACTTTATTCTTTCAAATGGTTTTCAACCAAAATGAGTTCAAAACCAGTAAACGATGGACCCTCAGTGATCCTTGTTCTCAGAAATATTGGGCTCATTCCCAAACCAGCCCCTGTCAGTTTGTTTGATCTTTGCTCATTAAGTCACGCCAACATCTGCAGAATTGATTCTTAGAACTGTTCTAGGCGTTACTGTATTATCTTTCAGTGCAGCTGAATTAAGAGCCAATGTAGCCCTGTCCTCTGAGACTACTTTAGTGGCTTCCCAAGTTGGGTTGTGGTAGAGTACAGTTTAATTCTACTGCGTTAAAACATCATAAGACTTGCCTATTTGTGGGAAATGTGATACAATGTCTCAACTGTCAGTTCTGTGGTGACTTCAGTTATGCAATGCACTAGGAAGAAAACAAACCCCCTCCCCCTTGTTTCCCCAGAAAATGAATCTGACATCTTGGATCACATCTTGTTGTATTGAGTTATTTTTATCCAATTATTTGGAGACTTGCATTCCAGATTGATTCTTTGCTATGTGTATGTACCTACTTTCTAGATCAATCCTTCACGCTGTACCTACGCAAGAGGCAGAACGTGATGTTTGCTCTTAAAGCAGATTTTGACTGCTGTATTTTCAAATAGATAGCAGTCCTATTTCTTTACCATTCATGTATTCTTTGAATAAAATAGTTTTTGAAACAATAACTTGCACTCTAATAGCACTATTGACATAGGATAACAACAATTTACATTCATACAGCACTTTTCACATCAGAAAGATGTCTCAGTATTTCACACAGGGCTTTGGGGAGGGAGAGCTGAGTGTGGGGGGAATTCCCAAAAGTGCAGTTGAAAAGATGGGTCTTAATGGTGAGAGGGAGGGGTGAGGTGGGGGGAACTGTAGAATGGACTTCTAGAGAGCACATCACAGAGATTGTGAGGGAGTGGGACTGATCGCAGTGGGAGGATGAGGCAAAAACATGAAAGTATTTGGAATGTAGAACGAGCATCTTGAGGTTGACTCGCTGGGGATTAGGAAGTGAATGGAGCCCAGTTAGGATGGAGATGATGGGCTTGTGTTCTGGATAAACTGGAGCTGTGTAGTGTTCTATGTGAACTGGAGTGTATGGAGAGTGTAGCTCGAAAGACTGATAAGGAGAGCATTGGAAAAATCAAGTCTAAATGTAATGAAGTCATAAATGATGATTTGGGCTGCCTTAAAGATCAGGTAGGGATAGAGGCAGATAATATTGCAAAGCTGGAGGAAAGTAGACTTGGTCAAGGACTGGATGAAAGATTTAAATAAGAGCTGAGGGTTTTAAGAGGAAAACAAAGAGTTGCTTCACAAGCCATGGTTGAACATAGCTGTTTTCAAACATGTAAAATCTCAATAAAGATTTGAATATTCAAATATTTTATTCATTCTGGAAAGGCAACTCCACACAGCTAGCACTAGCAAAACATATTTCAGCAGAAATGCTGTGGAGCCCATTGCTTATCTGACATAATTAATGTGTCTACAAAAATAACCGAATGAGTCATCCCTTGGTCTGTATACAAGACTGTTGTTGACAGACTTAAACTTAATCAGTGTGGTTTTATCTTATCACAGGATGAAGTATTTAAATTTATAAGCAAGTTATTTTTAAAAATACCATCTTTACATATGTTTGTGACATGAATACTATCCACTTTTTTAAAAAAAAATGTAGTATCTAAATCTAGAAGGAAAAAAAGTTCAGAAGAAATTCACTTGCTCTCAACAGCTAATAGAGGATGAGTGTTGCCATTATGAAGTGGGAGACATTATTTTCATGTCATCTTTGGGACATTGAATAGCAAAAATTTTGGACATTCTGGAGGACCTGGTTATAATCCTCTAATTGTTCAGGTGGCAGATATGAAAGAGGAAATTGAAACTGAATATACTTGCAATTCCATTATTTGCTGTTTTTTGTGACTTTGAAATGAACCATGTTTTGATCAGCTAGGTGTCTGATACATGCAGAAAAAATCACCATGCTTGAGAGTTACCACGTATGTTTACCATCTACACATAGAAATTTCACAGCATCTGGAACGGAATGAAAACTCTTTCTAGAGCATTCCCTGCTTACTTCATTCTGGAGAGTATAGGCATGGGCTGCTGAAGTCTGAGGATCAGGTGGGGAAACAATATGTTATTAAAAAAAGACCACGGCAGCTTAGTATAAATAAGGGGTGAATATTGTGATTGTTTTTCGCAGATTAGATTACTTTTTATGACTTGCATGTGAACCATTTTTTTTTTTTAGTCAGCCTAAGTCCTGCAGATTTGCTAGTCTGTCATCAGCAGTGCTCTGAAGTACTGTGGACTGGTCTGGTTCAGGAACTTGACCACTGAGACCACCACAGAGGGTTGACTCGATTGCTGCATTCCATATCATCTTGAAGCCAGCTCATCTCCAGGGAGACCCAGTTTATCTCCAAGGAGGAAAGTCACTTGTTGTTTATTCGATCTACAGTGGTTGAACCATGGTTCATGTGAAACATGTGATAGCACAAACTACTTTTATAAATTTCAGCAATAATTTATTATAGTTATTTGTTGGACGTGAATGGTTATCAGGAAGTTGACCTTTAAATTGTGTATTTTTAATCTTCTAGCTTCTGATGAAGAAGATAACAAAGACGACGCTGAGAAGCCAACACTTCAATAGGTGGGGAAAAAACACATTATTAAAAAAAAAATACCACGGCAGCTTAGTATAAATAAGGGGTAAAAACTGTAATGGTTCTTGACAGATTAGATACAATATCAAATTTGTTAACATCACAGTTTCCGGTTGATGACTAAATGCTCACTATGGGTGTGAAAGATCTTTCTTCTCCCACTGACTGTCCAAAAGATGGTTAGAGAAATTTCACATTGTCATTAATGTTGCTGACCACAGCGGTTTAGTGCTGCTTCACAGAACATTGGCTTGACTCACACTGGAGTCGGCCTTAAGCAGACAATTGGGTTCATTTTTTAATCTGTTGAGAAACATTGCATTTGCACCCAAAGGTTCTTTTGCGTGTCTCTGTGATCAGTTTAAGTGGAAATGCTGCAGTTTTATGTTGTGATAAGATGATGACATACTTTTAAGATGAAAGAAAATTCTGCTGAAAAATTTGTCTGGCGACATATCTAAATATTACATCTGTATTTCAAAATGTTAGCTAAATATAGTATTTCCCTAATTCTCAGCCTTTGCTCCCACCACCTATCAAACAATATTCCCTAGCCATAAAGATGGATAAAAGGTTTGTTTCTCAATCTCTGCAAGTGGCACTTAGAGTACATAGAATTACATAGAATGTTACAGTAAAGAAAAACGGCCATCCAGCCCAACTTGTCTACGCCATTGGTGTTTATGCTCCACATAAATAAGCCTCCATTCCTAATCCTCTCTGATATTCTATTCCCTTTCACTCATATGTGCATCAAGCTTCCTCTTAAACTTGTTGATGCTTTCTGTTTCAATCACAACTTCAAGCACGAGTTCCATATCTGTGCCCCCTTTGCATAAAGTTCCTCCTAAAATAGATTTTAGATCTGTTATTAGCTATCTTGTATTTATGTCCCCTTATTTTGGACTTGTTGTCAAATGAACGTGTAACGAAAGTGGATTTCTCTACCATTTCCCTTTCCTCCTTATGGATTACAAAAAGCATGTTTCAAAGCAAAGTGTTCACAAAACATTTCTGTAATTTTAGGAAGAAATTCCTTTATATACATTTAATAACTTGAAAAGGCTGCTGCTAATCGGTTGCTACTATTAATTAGTGAACATAATGATTCTTGCTAGGGTGGTTTGTATTAGGTAGAATTTTGTGCTGGGGCTTTTAACTGTCTTTGTTTATGCCAATACCTTCATTAATTTAAAGCGTATGGTGGTTAGGCAAAATTCGAATTGCATAGAAAGTCGCATAAATGTAACTGAGCATAACGTTTGTATTCTGCTTTGTGAGATGTTCAAAACTGCTTTTATTTCCTGTTGTGGTACAAAGCAGCAAGCTTCACTCTATCGTATGATCTTGTGCTTTAGCACAACCTCAGCGGCTGATTTTTTTTTCATTTTGTATTAAATTGCAAGTTTATCCAAAGATGTTGGTTTTAATTCAGGGCACATCATAGCAATTCTTGCACTGATTTTCATTTTGCTCCTTTTGAAAACAATGGATATTGAATTTAACTTCCACAATAAAATATGCAGTAGAGATGCCAAAGAGGAATCCAGATAATTATAATGAGTAATCTGCAGCATTTCACCAAGTGCTTGTTTGAGAAGTTCAGTGTTTAGAATGAAACACAGACTGAGATCGGATTCTATTTTGCACTAAGTGGTAAGACATAAATTAAATAGTGAGAAGGCACTGCTCGGCACTCATTAGTCCATTGGTTTGTTTTTTGTTTCAGTGTGAGTTAACACTGTATATTTCAATTGTGACTTAAACTCCCTTTTTTCTTTCCTTTTTCCCCCCAACCTTCCAATTATTTCAACAGAGTGTCTGGACCGTGGATTCAGTCGATTTAAAAGGGATAATGTAACCTGTTCTGAGACCAAAGGGCACTTTACTCTGACATGAAAATTTCTGATGAAGAAAATGATGTGAAAAGCAATAGGACACCCTTGGTTTGCTTTCAGTACTGGACTCCTTTTCCACCTGGTTGGAAATTGCTTTTCTCTGCCTTACATTATGTTTGAAAGCTATCCATTATCTTGCCTTCACTGAAATAACTTTGCAGTATTGATTTTAGTAATGATTTGCTCTGCAGCATTTTAGAATGGCAGATGATAGGCTCAAATGGAATTCATCATTCTACTGAAATCATGTTTGAAGAATTACTGCCAGGTCCAACTTGGAAAAATGGGATCATGTTATCCTAACCAACTGAGATTTTGGCAATATCCACTTTCCATATGCATTATATTGCACAAAGAGTTTAGATTTTTTTTATTGGCTTTTCATTATTTTAAATGGAATATTTCAAATGCAGTAATTTATAAATTGCGATGGGTTTCACTGAAATGTTGAGGACTTAGTGATACTTATGCCTTATTTGTAAAGGTAAGAGTTTGAGAAGGTCGGAGGAAGAGACTTGAAGGGTAAATGGCAGTGCCAAAGATGAAGTTTGTCTAATATAGAGGTATCCGTTGCATTGCAAAATCAACTGACAAATACATTTTAGCCTTGAGGACTGCTGTAAATCATGTCTTGTGGTTAGGTTTCTGCAACACAAAATAACTGAAACTTGCATTAATAGCTTTTTAATCATTTTTCTTGTATTTAGTTTACAATAATAATACTTTCATTTGATATATTGCCTTATCGCGTTGTTGAGATGTCTCAACGCACTCCACAGAATATATTGTAAAGTGGATTAAATATTTTGTGGGCAAAAATAGTTTCAGATTTACTTTAGATCATAGCCAAAATCTACCTGTGTTTGAAATACAATTGTCATAAAAAGAATCAAGTCACTAAAGATTTCCTGAATATTAAATTAAATCCTATCCCTAATGTTAGATTCTAGTGATCTAAAGAATAGATTAGTAAATCCGAGCTCAAGTGTGCAGACCTCATTGATTTAATTCTCATTTTAATTTAAGTTATATTTTTGTTGGTACATGTCTTTTGCATTACAGGAACCTTTGCATATAATAACCTGTTTGTCAGAATAGTGAAGAAATTTTAAACTTAACTAAATTCATTTCAAAAAATAAAATGTAAGATTTTTTTAAAAAACTATTTTTTATTAATTGTATTGTGCGTGACATTCTGTTTTGTTCCTGTCCTTATGACTTAGGTTTGCTGATTTTCATTGAGTTGATTTATATTTGTTATAGTTGATTTATTGTTGATCACCATTTCAGTTATGAGGTTTATTATTTTTGTTTCTTGACCAGACAGTTAAGTTCACTATAAATCTGAATAATAATGCTGTATTTTTTTTAAACTAACTAATGTGTTCTGATTTTTTAAAAATGAATCTGCCTTCCCTCCCCACACCACCCCCTGCCCCCCACCCCCAATAAAAGCTTTATGTTCTGGAACTATGTGTGGGCCATAAATGGGTAACTAGAATACGGATAATAGAATTTAACACTTGTCCTGCTTTAAATGTTATAATTGCATAAAATATAGTGGATAAATTGCAGTTCCGTATGGGGTTTTAGAGCCCCAGTGCTGGTTAGCCATCCTGCCGTCACATTTTATTCTTTTAAAAATATCATCTTAATCATAATGGATTCACAATTGGATAATACAAAGTCCAACCCCTGAAATATTTAAAAATATTGCACCCACACCACAAAGTATGTGACAAATAAGTACTGAAAATTTTTACATTATAACTAATATACTGCAACCGTATAATGGGCACAGGGCACACAGCAGTGTCAGCTATATTTTTATTAAAAATTAGTGTTTGAATAAAATAAAATGCATGCTGCCTGAAATCTACATGAAAAAAAACTGATCCCGAGAATTACAAAAAGCAGCTGAATAATGTATGCTACTTGTAGTAGGGATAGTAGAAATGAATAGATGGCTGATTTCTATTGCTCCTTTAGATTAACTGTTATTCTAGGGTTTTTTTTAGACACTCCATTTCCTTGAGTTACAACTGTTTTTCCATTGTAGCAAGATGCCACTGAGTTAATCCCAAGGAAGACTTATCTCCCTTTTTAAAAGTGAAATCGGTTGTAGGAGAAATCTGATAATTCCTAAGATTTAAGAATCATTAGATGTAGTCTCTGTGACGGGACAACATTTTGAAGAGCCCTTGGTACTTGGTAGTTTCAAGCGAAACTGATGAACAACAAACAATCTTGTGTTTTGTGTCAAGTCCTTCACCTTCTAGTGAATTGGAACCCGCTGACAAGTGACCCAATGTAACTTGATCAGTTGCTGCAGGGGAATGTTTTTGATTATATATCAAATAATAAAGTCCTCGCATTTGATTTGACTCTTAATTTAGGATAAACAATTACCAGAATTTCATAAAGTGTGTTGTTGCTAAATGGAGAAGTAGTTTGTAATGTTTCTATGTTACCGCGAGAGGGTGTTATTTATTACATTCTGCCTAAACTGTTCTCATGGTGCCAAAATTATGCTAAAGCACAGATAAGATTGGTTCCATTTGCTGGAACATGTACGGAAATTATCGTAGCAGAATGTGTTTACATTTCAAAAATTCACTGATGTGGAGGCTGATCAATTTGGATGTATGTTTGATTAGACTTGAGTGAGTATATTTCATTCTATAGGGTTTTTTTTGTTTGCAGGATTTTGGCATAAAAAAACATTTCCTTATACTATGCTGAAATTTGACTCACTTGAAAATTCGGAGCCCATGTAACTACAGCGATTAGGTGCCGATAGTCTGCTGCAGGATTTTTAAAAAATCTTGATTCCATTCCAGTGGCAAAATGCAACAATACAAACTGGATTTCTCCCAAAGCAGTAGTGAATAATTTAACCAGGAGCAGTTAGGAGCAACAACAAATTACATTTGTAGAAGCGCCTTTTCCGTGTGGAGGAAATCCTAAGTAGCAGTTTAGGAATGTAATTAAATCTAGCCTGGAAAACACTTACAACCCAGCTTTCCTCGGCAGTTCTCTGGGCTTCCCTCCAGAACACTCAAGCTCTGAGATGTCAGTGGAATTGGCATTTTGTTTGTTTAAATCCCTGGTAACTGAGAAATAGGTTTGCATTCTGGTAATTTGAAACAATATTACTGAGTAACTTGATGTGATTCTTTGTTCTGAAGATTATTTCTAAATTCTTTGTTGCTGATGTAATATATTTTGTAATATTTGCTGGGACTGAAATCTGAAAATACAAAATCATTGCAAACAAATGACATTAAGCATGAATGCATGGACTATAATGTATAAAATGATATGACCCAAGGTTCAGTGTAATCATTGAATAAATTCTTAATTTGCATACCCAAGTTTTGATGTCTTTATATTCTGTAATTAATGTAATATACAGTAAGCTTGTGCTAGAGTTTTTAAAAATGGAGAATATCACTTGTTTGTGGACCGCCTAGCTGAATATCATGTTGGCCTTCTAAACGTAAGAGTAATGGAGATGCAGATGGTGCTAAAACCTGTGGAAATCTGGTGGGTGCAATAAATTAGCCCTCCCTTCTTTGTAATTTACTTAATCCCAGTGTTTTCATAATTAATTTGCACAATAAAACTATGGCTCCTCTACTTGGTAGGTACAAGCATCGAATGGCAAAAGCGTCCTTTAGCAAACCATTAATACGAACCGAGCAATAGTTGTTCTGGAACATGAAGCATGTTATTTCCAATGTGGCACTCTGCAATTTTACATTGAATTTCTATGTTCCATAACTGAATTTAAAATTGATTTTAATTTGCAAAATAAGGCTCTTTACTGATGAATTTGAAAGTTTCTCCCTGTTAACTTTAACAGCATCTCACTTGTCCCTGCATTTTAATAATAATCCGAGCATTTGATATCGCACCTCATCATGTCTTCGAGATGTCTCAAAGCGCTTTGCAGAATATACCCTAAAGGGAATTGACTGATATTTTGTGACGGAATGCGGCAGCCAATTACGCACAGCAGTGTCCCTCAAACAGTCGTAGTTTGAAAATGACCAATTTATTATTGTTTTGTTTTTTGGAGGGATTATTATTAGGCGTGTGGAGTAAGGAAACTTGCCCAAGATTTTGCCCTGTCTGGAATTTATTGTTTTATATAATAGACCTTGGCATTTATCAAAGCACTTTGGTGTATTTGTACACAAAAGCAGGGCACTGCAATGTCCCATAAACTGCCAAAAAAGATTTTTTTTTTGCGGGGAGTGGGGGTTGTTTGTCAGAATACTGAGAGAAACTAACCTTCGCTTTTATCAAATCTGTAATAAAATGTGGAGTCCTGTAGCTCAGTGGTTAGAGCACTCGCTTTGCAAGTGAGAGACCTGAGTTCAATTCCAGACAGGGCGAAACCTTGGGCAAGTTTCCTTACTCCACACAGAGCCTAATAATAATCCCTCCAAAGCCAAAAACAATAATAAATTGGTCATTTTCAATCTACGACTGTTTGTGGGACATTGCTGTCCGCAATTGGCTGCCGCATTCGCCCACAAATAGTCAATTCACTTTACAGTGTGTTCTGTGAAGCGCTTTGGGACGTCCTCCCGACGTGAAAAGCGCTATATCAAATGCAAGGATTATTATTATATTATAAAATTACCCATAAACTTCTCATAAGAAATTCATGAAATGTTTTTAGACTTTCAGGGTAAGATTATTTAGTAACACTCAATGTGTGGTGGGACCAGGGGCAGACTGATTATTCGGGAAATCAGGAAATTTCCTGAGCATCCTCTGTTAACGCTCTGGGACACTACTCTGCATGAGGGGTGTAATATAAATGCAAGTTGTTGTTGTGAAAGCTTCTCGAGCTCCCCAAAGAAAATGACTCGTGAATTTTTTTTAAAATACATAGGACTGCTCCCACCTCCCTGAATCTACCTACAGAGTGAGTAGTTGGAGAGTGAAAGATGCCCTCAGCATCAGCCATGTCATCACCGGATCCCCAGGAATTAATTGACATATGCTTACCCTTTGCAAAGCTGCACACCAGCCTTATTAGCACTTACGTACAAGCGCAACCGGGGGCTGTTGTGCCTGGTGCAGGCATAGACCCTGCTACTTTCTTGTGCAGGCCACTGCACCTTGACTAGGCACATGGTGCTGAGCTTTGAGGAGAGGAAATCACCACCGCCATCATGATGCTGGTGAATGGCTGCCAGCAGCCCTCACCCCGAACCCGTGGGGCCGCGGTGGATCCAGGGTTTGGAAGGTCCTGATATGGAAGGACCTTTGTATATTTTCATGTTCTTTTGGCGCTGGCCCACCCCTTTATTTCCATGAAAATCCCGAGTCCTTTCCGGCAGCCAGTCCACCATTGGGTGAGACCAGCAGTTTGTACAAAATGTGAATCACTTCCCACAGAACTGTTGCTTCAGTTACGCATCACAAGATTTTGTTTGCTCTCTTTACTTGTGTAATTTATTTTTCTTCCCCAGGCC